TTACTGATTTGTTTATGAAGCAACACCATATATCACAGATTTAGAATTCTACATATGGAGATATAAATCAGCTGTCTACATGTCTTGTTTATGTTTCTTTAGGTTGTTGAAACCTTCAGTCGGCTGAGCTGCATACAAAATGGATTCTGGTGAATCACAGACAGGTACTTTTTGTGTTGGATAGCCAAGTATGGAGACAATAGATTGATGTTTATAGAATGCTTTACTCATACACAAAATAGCAGGACGTGCAGTACTTCATGTGTGTCATATGAGTTAATGTGCAACTGTCGAATTGATGTGCAGCCTGTTGAATTAATGTGCAACCTGTTGAATATTAATGTGCAACCTGTTGAATGTTAATGTGCAATTGTCTTATGACAGATGTGCAGTCAATTGACCATTCTTGTTTTTTCAACACAGGTACTCAAGGATCACCAACAGCCCCTACGCACCATCAATTTGCGGTCACGCCCGACGGAACTAAATATTGGATACCGGAATGTGATGAATCGGACAAACCTTACAACGGGCAGAGGTTTCGGGAATTACACGAAGCTATCGATTTCTACAAAAGATACGCTCTCATTGTTGGTTTCGATGTGAGGCACAGCACCTTGATAAAATCACGTGACAAAACAATTCTCTGGAAATACATGGTGTGCTCGAGGGAAGGATATAAGCACCATACAGCAATCAATACAACAGTATGCGATGGCGGGCCGGTAATGAGGCGTAGGGTGTCAAACCGGGTGGGTTGTAATGCCCGCATCATGCTGCGTATTGACGGGCTGAATGGCTACGTTGTAAAAAACTTCGAGGATAAACATAACCACCCAATGACGTCGGACAGCTGCAGATCACAAATGAAGGCCAACAGGACAATGAATGCTGGACATCAAAATTTTGTACTAAATTGCGTCAGAGCCAATATAGGACCAGTTCGGTCATACCGTTTGTACAAAGAGATGGTTGGTGGGTATTCGAATATTGGCGCCACGAGTACAAACTTCAAGAACTATAAACGAGAGCTACTCGCATACATCGCAGGAAGAGACGCTCAATTAGTTATTGACAAATTCTATAAGCATCAAGAAACCAGTCCTGCATTTTATTTTCAGTATGAGGTAGACGAGCAGGAATGACTGAAAAGACTTTTTTGGGCTGATCCCATTTCGAGAAGGAATTACGGTTGTTTTGGTGATGTCGTATCATTCGATGCTACATATAATACAAACAGGTACACACGAAACCTCATATTAATTTGCCTTGATAATGATTATTATGTCATATATATTCGTTCAAAATTATTTCTGGACTAATCCAAGCTGACAAACGACAGGTACAACATGATATTTGCACCTTTTACCGGCGTAGACAACCACGACAAGTGTGTGACATTTGCAGCTACCTTGATATCGAACGAGGACGTTGACTCTTACGTTTGGGTATTAAAGAAATTCAAAGATGCCATGATCCACGAGCCCGAGTACATTGTCACGGACCAAGACCCGTCCATCGGCATCGCATTTCCTAAGGTATTCGAAACGTGCAAGCACCAATTTTGCATGTGGCACATAATGACTAAGTTAGGGGACAAAGTTGGTCATTCATTAAACAGTGATGTTGAATTTAAACGGCGGCTTAATGAAATTGTATGGGACAGAAATATAGAAGTTGTTGTGTTCGAAGCAAAATGGGCATCCATCATGTCTGATCATATGTTGACCACGCACAAATGGTTTAATGACTTGTTTGCGAAAAGAGAATATTGGATTCCGGCTTTTTTCAGAAATGTCAACATGAGCGGCTTAATGAGGACTACCTCTAGGTCCGAAAGCGAGAATAATTGATTCGGAAACTTCACAAATAATCATTCCAGCCTAGTCGAATTCTTAATGCATTTCGACAGTGCGATGGATGCACAACGAAACACGTCAATGAAGCTACACAACGATAGTGAATCCCTACAAGCAGAATTGAAGACGCCTCTTCCCATTGAGAAAGCTGCAAGGTCTGTTTACACAACATCAATGTTCTACCGTGTACAAGAAGAGATTTGCGCGGCGTGTTTCAGTTGTCGAGTAATGAGCTTTTCTGAAAAGGATGGTCACACGGAATTTGTAATCAGAGACGTAGATGGTAACACTTTCAGTGTTGTTCACGAGATCATTTTGAATACAACGACATGTTCGTGCAAACACTTTGAATTGTACGGGTGGTTGTGTCGCCACGTGTTTGTTGTACTCAAAGATTTGAACATGCAATCTATACCTTCTGCGCATATCCTGTCACGGTGGACGAAAATGGCTACTCTTAATCCCATTTTCCAGGTTCTTGATGTCGCGTCTGCCCAATGCGCCAAAATTGACGATAGAAAGTTCCTGCTTAGCAAGTTGTGGTCGGATATACATACATGTATGGGATTGACTAAGCCTTGTGTTAACCGCCTTATCGAATTTTCAAAGGTCATCGAAGCACACAAGGTTAAACTACTGTCTGATCAAGGCGAGTACGCAGCAGTCAGTAATAAAGAGCAGCAGTTTGAGTCTTTTGTTGGCATGGCTGCGCCTCAAGAGGTGACCATTCACCCTCCGACACACTCGAAAAACAAGGGCAGCGGAAAACGACTAAAGAGTGAAAAAGAAAATGCAATTGAACAGTCGCAAAAGAAGCGGAGGGTTTGCAAGTCCTGTGGCGAAAGAGCCGGTCACAATGCACGTACGTGCCCCAAAAAACTGTAGGCATATAAGGTATATATTCACATCTCGTCATGGTGATTATTTGACCATTATACACCTGTAAGTTTCTCGTTTCTCAATTCAGGAATTCTTTATGTCCATTAATATACACCTGCACACATACCTATTATATTCGAAATTGTATTGTTTATTCGTGTTATTCCCAAATTAAACCAATCCATTGGGCTACTACGAAAAAACACCATCCAATGTGTGCACAATGACACACGATGATATCCATATTAAATTTGACATATGGTTGACATATAATGTATTTCATTTGCAGCAGTGTGTGGAATCAAATTTGATGGAAATTGTCAAAGGGTTCATGATACAACCGGACATTGTGTTGAACGATCGAGAGACGGTGCATTTTATTATATTATTAAACATTACCATTATTTCGTGACCAGACATTGTATAATTTTTAGTTTTATATCGTGTTTGACCAACTAGATTGCGTGTGGACTATATAGATGAATGGTGATCACAAACAGCAGTTGAATAATGCACCTCAGTGTATATCATGTTGCACTTTTATTCGATTTTAATTGCACCTTATGTAATAATATTTAAACTAACATGTTGTCTGCAGAAACAAAATTGTGTATAAACAATATCTTAATGATATAACAAACATCTAAATAAAAAGATACAGAATAATAATAATAATAACAATGACACAACATCGTATCACTTATATTTGTAATTTATCGTTGCACTTTATACAACAAGTCGTTGCACTAGTTTCAAATTCAATGCACCTTATACAACAAGTCGTTGCACTTTAGTTCCAAATTCGTTGCACTTTATACAACAAGCCGTTGCACTTTAGTTCCAAATTGGTTGTACTTTATAACAACGGATCTCAATTTTGCACGACAAATATAAGTAAACAACTACCGTAACATGCTAATATGCCAACACGCAACGTTTACTGGAGAAGACGTACAATGAACATACAATATCAAAAAACGGAGATATATGTACCAACGCTAAATGCATAAAAAAAAATTCTGGTTCAAGCAATGCACCAATACACCAATATAGCCACAAATAACGACACTTTTTTTTTAAAAAAAAAAATAAAAATAAAAATTGAGGGCATATCTAATGCCCATGTGTATGCACATTACACAGATTGTAATGCACATTACAACTGATTTCGTTGCACTTTACAAACCGTATCACTGCACCTTACTAACTACCAACATAAATATCTATGCAAAAACCATAACGCATGATATACGACGACCGTACATACTATTTCATCACCCACCAAAAAAACGATTGAAAAAACAAAGGGAACAATTAAAAACGTCCTAACATAACAATATCCACCAACACGTTAACCGTCGTGAAATTACCAATCGTCATAACATACCAACATGAGATAAAAAAACAGTCATAAACGTACCAACATACATACGTACAAAAGATGTTCAAAAACAGTCATAATCATGCATCGAAACAATATCTAAGCCGTCCATAAAATGCAATATCCAACCCAACATGTCAAGAAACAACTAGTGTCTTCACCCCCTCGTATAGATCCTGAAACTTTCGTGCTGCCACGAGGTTGGCATCTTTCGCATCATTGTTTGGAGCACACGCTATCACATAGCAATATCGCTTTATCATAAGCTTCAGCTGCCCCTTGTCAACCTTCTTCATATCTTGGTTCCAGTTTTTCGTAATGCGCCCTTTAAACGTCTCCATGAGACGCATTGTTATAACGCCAGCATCCACGTCATCAACGTCTTCAGACCACTCCAAACTGACAACCTCCGGGATTGAAAGTGCGACGACTTTTGAAAATTTCACCACATTCGTATGTCCCAAATACTTAGCAACTGACTCTCTCTACATAAAATAAAGACAATATAATAATACAAAAAACAAAAGACAACATAACAAGAAAAAAAAAACATACATATGAATATATATATATATATATATCTTACACCAACATGAATTACAATCAAGAGGACATACCAAAATCCCGCCACGTGCCAAGACACTTTTTTTGACACATTCATCTTTACACGCGCCCACGCTATCTAGCACGTAGAAGTTTTGAGATTTTGGAACAATGCACATCAATCCATTGAAACAACCGGAATGCACGAGAAATATGAACTACAATAAAAGAACCACGTAAAATCAGTTATAAAAAAAAAAAAA